CTTTTCTCGCCCCGGAGGACGGGAGCGGCGGGACGCCCAGATGTGCCGCGGTCCCGCCGCCCGCGTCCTCCGTGGCTTTGCTCCGCGTCTCCCTGGTCTGCTGGGGGGGGGGCGCAGCTAGTGCGCCCCCCCTCCCCCAGCAGACCAGGCTTTTCTCACCGCAGAGGACGCGGGCGGTCCTGCCGCCCGCGTCCTCCGCAGCGAGAAAAGCCCCGTTCGTATGTAGGGATCCGACATAAGTCGGATCCACGTAACTCGGGGACTGCCTGTACTGGTAAAAGCAGAGGTGAAAGTTAGCAGGTGTGCCTAGGTGTGCAGTTCTGGCAAAAGCTGTCTGAGCTGCAGCAAAAGCCTGCAGAGAGCTATTTAAAGCGCTGGGAGGGACCTGGGTTGCAGTAAGGTAGTCCCTGAAAGAAATGTGTTACTTTCATTGCTGGGTAAAAGTCTCAGTGTGGACACATTTATACCACAATAAAAGTTACCAAGACAGAATAAGCATTAGCACTTTTATACTGGCACAACTGCATCCCCACTAAGGAGGCTTGCCACTTTAATTATAGCATAACACGGTGCCAGAGGTGGGGAATCTCCAGCATGCCAGATGGTTTGTCAGGTTTGGTTACTGGCAGGCTGCCAGGCACTTTGTTTACATGAACATCCACAGCTCCCAATGGCCAAGGTTCACCATTCCCGGCCAATGGGAACTGCTTCCTGCAGCTCCCGTTGGCTGGAAACAGCGAATTGCAGCCACTGGGAGCTACATGGCACTGCACCTGCAGACACTCGGGTAAACAAAGTATTCACTGGCCCTTCAGAAACTTACCCTGATGAACTGCATGCAGCCTACAGGCAGGGGGATTAGAAGCCTTGCTGGGCTCCTTGGCAAGGCAGAGGGGTCCCTGTCTCTGCGCCCCAGAGGGGGATCCTCATGTAGAAGACGTAGGGCTGGGACCAACTTCTCCCAGGCTGCCTCAGCATTCTGGAGAACATTGCCTGGGGCTCTGGAGCATGGGACTCCAGTGATGATTTAAAGGGTCCAGGGCTCCGGCCACTGTCGCTGCTGTCGCTGCAGTAACACCAGCAACAGCTGGGAGCCCCAGGCTCTTTGGAATTGCTAGGCCATGGGGCAGTTGCCCTCTTTGCCCCCCTCCTGTCGATGGACCTGCCTGTGGGCCCCACATCTGTAATACACTGAAGTAGCCAAACCCTTGGAAGGAAATGCCATGGAATTTCAGGCAAAACTGCTGGATAATGTAAGCCTAATGTAGGTCTCTCCTATGGCTGACATGGTAACGGAGTTGAACTACAAGTGCAAGCAAAACTTGGTGACCACTTATATCAGGCATTGTGTTCTATTCTGAAAATGCAGGGTGAGTGAGTCTAAGTTAAACAAAAACCTATAGATCCTCCCTCCACTCTCCCAAAATTAACAAAATGCTGTTCAGCCTTTTCCTGAACTTATGCAGACAAACAAGTGTGTTGATTTGTCCCTACTCTGGAAAGAAAATACTTTGTTGTTCCTCCATGGCTCAGTTGTTTTCTGAAAGTAGAAGAAATCAGTCAATCAGTAGTGTCAGCTGAAGTTGGCTTAAGGTAGTTGGTGTGCAATTAAACCTTGGGAAAACATTAGCTCAACCCAGTGATTAAATATTTCAAGGCTTGTTTTCCTAAAAGCAGATAAAAATAGTGGCTCATTTGACTCAAGTGTCTCATTTGCTTAGTGCCTGAGTAGAAACAAAGACACTTTAGACAAACCGGTGAGGAAGAAAAGCATCTTTATTTGAGCCATATTGTGAGACCTGAACGTAGAAAAGTAAAATGAGAGTTCAATCCCTGAGCTGGAAGACCTTCAAAAATAAAAGTCAAATTATAAAACAGGTTATAAGGAGAGAGAGAGAGAAAACACAACCTCTGTGGGCTGCTGCATGAAAGCGCAATGCATAACATCATCAATCTTTATTTGTGGAATCTTTAATGGTGAACTTTTAGGCATTTTATCTTTCAAGATCTTATTTCAGAGCTCTTTGTTTACACAATAGCAGGTGTCACTAATACCTAAAATAGACCAGGGACTGGTGATCACTCCCTGGAGACAGGTCTTAGTCATGTTAGCAGTGCTTACATGGCAAATAAAGCCCAGGACTCATACTTCAGAAAGGAAGTTATTTAATCGTGCCTTTGGGATTTTTTCCATATTTATATTTTTCTTGTGATTAATTGTGTTTTATCGATTCCATTTATGCAGTAAAGAAGGGAAAAGAATATAAGGTGATGATGGAAGAAAGGAAAGAAAAAAAATACAGCACTTAATACCAGTGAAACAAGGTATTAATTATTCTTGACAGAGATCTTCCTTCATGTAATATCACTATATGCAATTCATATTTCCGCCATATTTCTTGACATCCAAACTGACAAACTTGCTGTCATTTTCTGTTCCTTTTACTCTTTCCAGCACGTACAGGCTGGTGTCCAAACCCTGTTGACTTTTTAATGCACAACATCAGGCAAAGGTGAGGTGTAGGAGGATCAGAAGGGATGAAGTGCTCCCCTGACTGTCTTGCTGGGAAGAGGAAAGAAGGGGGGCTTTGTCCTCTCCCTGTGCCTCTCCCCCAGCATGTTTGGCTTCTATCCCAGGCAACTGGGTGGGAAGGTGGATGGAGTCCTTCTGCCTGAGGGAACCTGGCTGGGAGGCAGTAGCAGCCAGCTCTGGACCCTCCCTGGGCTCACAAGCATGCTGGGTGGAATGTGGGCGGGGGAGGGGGAAAGG